TTGAACCACCAGCCTTCTGGTTAGTAGTCAAATGCCTTAGACACTACGCGACCAGTGTTCCTTACTTAACATTAGTATGGTCAATAATTCATGGCAAATTTATGTATCTGTGGTCCACAATGGATCAAAAAACAAAGACATATCTTGTGATATCTATGGTGGAAAAAAAATCATAACAGCAGTTGTCTCTGGTGGGGTGGGGTAAAACTGTCTAGGAAGGGGTATGAGGGTACGGTCTGCAAGTGATGGTAAAGGTAATATTCTATAGCTTTGATAGTGTTTGGGTTTTATAGGTAACCAAAACTCAGCAGAACTACCCTTACAACTTGAACATATCATTGTACATAATTTGTATCTCAAAAGAAGAAAACTTTACAGAAATACTCAATTCTAGGTAATGACATGTATGCAGAAGTGCCTGTATACTAATGTCTGGAACTTACACTGAAATGCATAAAAAGAACAACATGGATATGTGATAAAGAAAGCATAATAAAATGTTAATGGTAGAATCTAGATGGGTATACAGATGTTTACTATAAAATTTTTCCTGTTTATTTGAAAATTTTCATGATGAAATGTTGGAAAAAGAATGGTATGTTTGAATGATGGTAGGAAAGGTTTGTAATGATGATCAAACTATTAATGTGCAGTTACCCTTGGGAAGTATGTAAAAAATTTTCATACATTTAATAATAAAATGGATAAAATATTTTAAAACAAGCATGTTATTACATTTGTTATTAAAATCAAGATGCACTGATAATTATTGGTGATTGGAATGCAAAAAAAAAAAAAAAAAAAAAAAAAGGATCAGCAGTTGCAAAATAAAGTCATGGTGACAGAAATAACTCCAGAGATCACAAGATAGAATTTTGCAAGACCAACATCTTATGCACTATCTTTTTCAACAATATAAATGGTGAGTAGACACATGGACCTCGCTGCATGGAAAACATAGTAATCAAAACAACTATCTGTAGAAAGAGATGGTGGAGAATCTCAGTATTATCAGTCAGAACAAGACCAGGGGCTAACTGCTCAAAAGAGTATCAACTGCTCACGTGCAAGTTCAAACTGAAGCTGAAGAAAATTAAAACAAGTTTATGAGAGCCAAAGTATAACCCTGAGTACATCCCACCTGAATTTAGAGACTATCTCAAGAACAGATTTGATGCATCGAACATTAATGACCAAAACTCAGATGAGTTGTAGGATGACATTAAGGACATCATACATGAAGAAAGCAAAAGGTCACTAAAAAGAGAGTAAAGAAAGAAGACCAAAATAGATCCCACAAGAAACCCTGAAACATGCTCTTGAACACAGAATAGCTACGGTGAACAGAAGAAATGGTGAAGTAAAAGAACTGAGCAGAAGACTTTAAAAAGTGGCTTGGGAAGACAAGGTAAAGTATTATAACGAAATTGGCAAAGACCTGGAGTTAGAAAACCAAAAGAGAACACAATCAGCAATTCTAAAGCTGAAAGAACTGAAGAAAAAATTCAAGCCTTGAGTTGTAATATCGAAGGGTTCTAGAGCAAAATATTGGATGCAAGAAACATCAAAAGTAGATGAAAGGAGTATGCAGAGTCCATGTACCAAAAATAATTGGCCAAAATTCAGCTATTTAATTTGTTGTTGTTGTTAGGTGCCGCCGAGTTGTGTCTGACTCACAGCGACCCTACACAGAGCAGAACAAAACACTGCACGGTCCTGTGCCAGCTCCACGATCCCTCCTGTACTTGAACCCATCCTTGTAGCCATTGTCTCCAATCCATCCCATTGAGGGCCTTCTCCTCTTCTGTTGACTCTCCACCTTATCAAGTATGACATCCTTCTCCAGGAATGGTCACTTCTGATAATGTGGTCAAAGCAGGTGAGTCGAAGTCTGGCCATCTTGCTTACAAGGCGCATTCCAGCTGCATTTTCTCCAGGACAGATCTGTTAGTTCTTTTCACAGTCTGTGGTATTTTCAGCCTTCTTTGCCAGCACAACTCAAAAGCATCAATTCTTCTTCGGTCTTCCTTATTCACTGTTCAGCTCTCACATGCATATGAGGTGATTGAAAGTATCATGGCTAGTGTCAGGTGCACATTAGCCCTCAAGGAGACACCCTTGCTCCTCAGCACTTGAAAGAGGTCCTTTGCAGCCAACTTGCCCAGTGCTATATGTCATCTGATGTCCTGACTGCTTCTATGGGCATCAACTGTAGAGCTAAGTAAGCAATGTGATGTCTGACAACTTCAATCTTTTCTCCATTCATCATGATGCTGCTTATAGGTCCAGTTGTGAGGATTTTTTTCTTTATATTGAGATGTAATCCGTACTGCAGACTGTATTCTCCAATCTTCATCAGTAAGTGCTGCAAGTCATCCTCACTTTCAGCAAGCAAAGTTGTGTCGTCAGCATACTGCATGTTGTTAATGATTCTTCCTCCAATCTTGATGCCATGTTCTTCATATAGTCCAGCTTCTTAGATTATTTGCTCAGCATATACACTGAATACAGTAAAAGGACACAGCCCTGACACACCCCTTTCTTGATTTTAAACTATGCAGTGTCCTCTTGTTCTGTTTGAATGGCAGTCTCCTGGTCTATATATAGGTTCCTCATAAGTACAATTAAGTGTTCTGGAATTCTCATTGTTCTCAATGTTATCTACAGTTTGTTATGATCTACACAATCAAATGCTTTTGCATAGTCATTAAAACACAAGTAAACCCCTTTCTGGTATTCTCTGCTTTGAGCCAAGATCCATCTGACATCAGCAATGATATCCCTTGTTCCACTTCCTCTTCTGAATCCAGCTTGTACCTCTGGAAGTTCTGTCAATATACAGCTGTAACTGTTTTTGAATTATCTTCAGTAAGATCTTACTTGCGTGTGATATTAATGATATAGTTCGATAATTTCCACATTCTGTGGGATCACCTTTCTTTGGAACGGGTACAAATATGGATCTCTTCCAGTCGTTGGCCAGGTAGGTGTCTTCCAATCTCTTGGCATAACCGAGTAAGTGCCTCCATGTTTGTTGAAACATCTCAATGTGTATTCTGTCAATTCCTGGAGCCTTTTTTTTTTTTTAAAAACAAAACAAAACAAAACAATCCCTTCAGTGCAGCTTCAACTTCTTCCTTCAATACCATTGGTTCTTGATCATATGCAACCTCCTGAAATGGATGAAGATCGACCAGTTCTTTTTGGTACAGTGACTGTGTATTCCTTCCATCTTCTTTTGATGCTTCCTGCATCATTCAATATTTTGCCCATAGAATCTTTCAATATTGCAACTTGAGGCTTAAATTTTTACCTCAGTTCTTAGAGCTTGAGAAACGCCAAGTGTGTTCTTCCCTTTTGGTTTTGTAACTCCATTTCATTATAGTAATTGGCTTTGTCTTCTCGAGCTGCTCTTTGAAGTCTTCTGTTCAGTTCTTTTGTCATTTTTTCCATTTGCTTTAGCCACCCTCTGCTCAAGTGCAAATTTCAGGGTCTCTTCTGACATGTATTTTGGTCTTTTCTTCTTTTTTCATCTTTTTAATGACCTCTTCCTTTCTTCATGGATGATGTTCTTGATGTCATACCACAATTCTTCAGGTTTTCAGTCATTAGTGTTCAATGCATCAAATCTATTCTTTAGATGGTCTCTAAATTCAGGAGGGATATATTCAAGGTCATATTCTGGCTCTCGTGGACTTTTTTTAATTGTCTTCAATTCCAAGTTGAACTTAGATATGAGCAGTTAATGGTCTGTTCCACAATCAGCTCCTGGCTTGGTTTTGGCTAAAGATATTGAACTTTCCCATCACCTCTTGCCACAGACGTAGTCAATCTGATTCCTGTGTACTCCATCTGGTGAAGTCCATGTGTATAGCTGCTGCTTGTGTTGTTGAAAAAAGGTATTTGCAATGAGTAAGTCATTGCTCTTGCAAAATTCTATCATGCAGTCTCCAACGTTATTTCTGTCAGCAAGGCCAAATTTTCCAACTGCTGGTAATAATTCTTCGTTTCCAACTTTTGCAATCCAGTCACCAGTGATAATTAACATATCTTGATTGCACATCTGTCAATTTTAGACTGCAGAAGTTGATAAAGATCTTTAATTTCCTCATCTTTGGCGTCAGTGCTTGGTGCATGTATTTGAATAATAGTAGTAATTAACTCGTCTTCCTTGTAGGCGAATGGATATTACCTTATCACTGACAGCACTGTACCTCAGGACAGATCTTGAAACATCCTTTGTGATGTTGAATGCCATGCCATTCCTCTTCACTTTGTCATTCCCGGCATAGTAGATCATACGGTTGTCTGATTCAAAATGGCCAAAACCAGTCCATTTCAGCTCACTAATGCTTAGGATGTCAATCTTTATGCTTTCCATTTCATTTTTGACAACTTCCACTTTTCATAGATTCTTAGTACATTCCATGTTCTGATTATTAATTGATGTTTGAAGCTATTTCTCCTCAATTTGAGTCATGCCACGTCAGCAAATGGAGGTCTCAAAAACTTTATATCAGTAAGGTTGGTTCTACTCAGATGATGCAGCTCTTTCCCAGTTGTATTCTGAGTGCCTCCGACCTAAGGGGCTTGTCCTCCTACACTGTATTGGACAATGTTTCTGGGCTATTCATAAAGTTGCATAGTAATGTATCAGACACTGTTTCTCTGCTATTCATAAGGTTTTTCCCT